TATTGAAAAAGGATGGGAAAATGGGCACCATAAGCGCCCATCATGATAGGGAAAAGGCACCATGACCACCTGCACCAATGGGAAAAGGTTATGATAACCGCCCGCTGCGGTGATAGAGGGCATCATAACACCTGCAGTGATGAGAAAGAAATGCCATAAAGCACTTGTTTACGATGGATGCAGGGTGCCGTAGGGCGCCCACTGCGATGAAATACGTCTAGCTTGAAACAGATTCAGATAGAAACAATGCGCTGCGGGGAATGCCTGTGACTGTGCTGAGGCTGAGACATGCAGTTGATGATGATCTGAAACTAGAAGCAGAGATTAATGAATGCAGTGAGCTACATAATCACCAACCAGACAACAGGCGCAGCAGACACATAAGCTTCCTACTAGGTCACTAAATGACAGTAAACATGGTGAACTGTCCAAGAAAATTCACAACGATTCAACAAGGCTTGAAAATGATCCATGATTTAGTTTAAAAGATAAGAAATTGAGAGTCTGCTAGGGGATCAATACGTCTCAACCTCAACGGAGAAGATAAGCCGATAAACTGTGTAAAGAGCATGCTGCCGCTTAACTTATCTTTTAGTGACGAGATATCGTCTAAAAAATTCACCCCATCTTGATTGACTTGATTGAATGTACGTGATAAGCCATACTTTTTTATTTTTTTTAATAAATAATATAACTGTAACTGGAGATTTATTGATCTAATGTATGGATAATGTGGAATTAACCAGTGTTGCTTGATTGACTGGGCAAGGACAGTTTTACGTGTTTAGACCAAAGCATTATTATTTAAATATATTTAAAATATTAGGTTCAATGATTTAATTAAAGTCAGTGTCAATAGAAAACATCTTACTTCAACAAAACTCTGTTTCTTTTGTTTTTCTGAACAATATGTTTAATAAATAAAGTTAAAGATTAAACTAAGTTACAGTTTTACTCAGAATAAAATGTTANGAATGTTGATGAGAAAAACCATTGTTTTCAGGGTTTTTTCACATCGTTGAGATGAGCTGAGGGTGCGAGAAGAGAATACATGAACATGCAGCAATGCACTGGGGACATGATACATATAGGCTATCTAGGCTAGCCCCCAAGCCGTGATGACCAAAGGACGAAATGAGCAAGCCAAGATGGTTAAGCATGATTTTTCAGTTGAGATACGTATGCCATGATGTCCTAAAGAGTTCGAATCGAAGTGCCTTCATGATGCAAACACATGAATGGGTGTGGGTGCGATGCACCTGGAGCAATGAGCTGGGGCCGTAATGCACCTTCTGCAAATAAAAGAGTTTGCCATAAGCGCTGCTGCAATGGGTTAAAAGTGCGATGCGCCTGAAGCAAAGAGCTTCGGGCTGTAATGCACCGGCTGCAATGGAAAAAGGGCGCCATGGAGTGTCGCCACAATGGGATAAAAGTGGGATGTGTCTGCCGCAATAGTCATTGGACGCCATTAGCGCCCGCCGCAATGCTGGAAGACGGCATGAAATGCCCGCTGAGATGCTGGTGCAGTAAACGGCCACAATGATTGGCGCCCACTGAGAAGATGGAAGGCGCCATAAGGCGGCTGCCGTGAAGATGGAAGGCGCCATGAGGCACCCGGCATGAATTGAAGGCTCTATGAGGTGCGCACCGCGAAAGAAGGAAGGCACTATAAAGCGTCCTCCGTGAAATTTGGAAGGCGCCATAAAGTGTCCTCTGTGAAATTTGGAAGGCGCCACAAAGCGTCCTCTGTGAAATTTGGAAGGCGCCACAAAGCGTCCGCTGTGAAAGATGGAAGGCACAATAAAGTGCCCGCTGATATGATCAGGGTGCCATAATCGCATGCAGTGCTGAATGAAGGCCATATGAGCGCCTGTAGGTATTGAAAAAGGATGGGAAAATGGGCACCATAAGCGCCCATCATGATAGGGAAAAGGCACCATGACCACCTGCACCAATGGGAAAAGGTTATGATAACCGCCCGCTGCGGTGATAGAGGGCATCATAACACCTGCAGTGATGAGAAAGAAATGCCATAAAGCACTTGTT